TACCCAGCAGCTGGCAGGTGGGAAGCAGAGTCTCTGTGGATGGGTGGAGTAAATGCTGTGAGGTGAGCAGAGAAACTATCTCCTTAAACTTACACAGCAAGAGATTGTTTGAGTAGGGAACAGAGGTAGGTCTTCTCTTCTCTGCCTCCCAACAAGCATCTCCCACAAATGTGTGTGCATTTCTCCTGCGTGGAACTCACTTTTTTCTACTCAATTTTGTTAAAGCTTTTCAGCCTATTCTTACTTTGAATTCGCCTAGCATCAACTTCAAACATTTCTACTCCGCTATGCCTTCATCTTCAAGGCATTCTGTTGCCAGCTTTACTGGCATTCTCCTGGGTATTCTGTATTTTTTACCTCCTTTGAGTCCCCAGCAGCTATTGGACTAGTGAAAAAAGGGAAGTAAAATATTGGCCAACAATGTAAATAGGGAAAAGAATGACCAAAATACCTTGGAAATCTGGGTAGAATTATTTCATACACAGAAAGGATCTTATTTTGATTTTTCTATTTTAAACACATCTGGACTTTAGAAGGATTAGAAGTCTGAGTCCTTCTCTGCAAAATCAAGTGAAGTTGCAAACCAGATCCAGATACCAGTGGCTGTGTGGCTCAAGGACTGATAGCTAGAAGCACTGAATTTACATTGAAGTCCTTCCTTGAAGCCTGTTTCTGCCTAGAAATGATCTAATGCCATTATTGTCTGTTGGCTCACAGGCATACTGTCTCTGGAGTGCAGGAAATAAAACCTGGTGATATTTGTTCAAGTTTTGGAGAGTTGCTCACAGTCACTATTTCATGCCTTTTCAATAACTTCATTGGAGAGAACAAGTATGGAATGAAAATGTTCTCATTCCTCCAGACCAGATTATAGCACTAAGTCAGCACTGGGATAAGTGCTCTGTGTTGCCTGGACAAATAAAAATTTTTAAAAAAAATTTTAAAAATATTTTTTTTTTTTTTCTGTTTAGAGAAAAGTTGGAAAAGTTTGCTTAGTTACTGACTACAACAGATATGTGGAATGTGTGGGCTCAGCCATATTTCAGACCAATAGACTATGGCAAAGACAGTAAATTGCCTGATTTATCTGCTACCTGAAATCAAATAACAAAATAGTTACATGCTTCTCTCTGTGGATCCTTGTGCAGGTTACGGCTTTTAAGGAAATACGAGTGGACACAGTCGCCATGGGAAAAATGAAGGCCTGTCAAAACCAGAAGATTTCATGAAATTATTTGTTTTTTCTTAAAACTTTTTTAGGAATTAAAAAAAATATTTTGCTAAGAATGATAAAAGTTTTGTTTGTTATTTTCTGATTTAGTCCTTTCTTTTTCTTTAAAATTAAAAATAGTCCTAAACTTTTAATATTGTGAAACACAAAATATTTTCATTTCCCAGAACTTTCCTCATGGATTTTTTTTATTTCAAAATGAAACCATATTTCAATATCCTAAGAGGCTCATGAGAATGAGTTTATACTCTCTTCATATTTCTATCACATATATAAATTGTCTTGTTTTGATGCATTCACTTCTTTCTGTCTGTGTTTTGCCAAAAGTGTAGTACTGAAGTGTTAATAGAAAAATACCTTAGGAAACAAAAGTTGAAAGTCACATTACAAGTATTTCTGGATAGAACAACCTTGATGTGACAAATGACAAATCTCAAACAATGAATCCTATTTAACACTTGAATTTATATTCAATCTACAGTGTAAGACAAAGTATTTAAAGAAATTAATGGGAAAAGACAAATTCACAAGAAGTCTTAGGTAATGGAATTTCCCTTTCTGTGCTCTTTCAGTATGTTTCAGTTTGTGTCTTATTTGCTTGCATCCATTCATGACATAGTGATCCATTCAACTAAGTTATCCCTTCTTTTTCTTAGTGTTTCTAAGGCACTAGTACATCTAATATTTCTTCATTTCAGAGAGACCAAGAGTTTACAGGATTAAAAGATTCAATCGGCTAATTACACAGATATTAAGGATCTTTACAGTTGTGTTACATATATTTTTCTTAATCCTCCCAGGTGTAGAAATCCTCATATTTCATACCAGAAAATGTCTCAAAGGGGGAAACACCTATTTCACTGAATACTTAATACCTTAGCTAGTGACTTCTCAGTTGTCTGAAACAGTTATGGTGGTAGACTAGTCTTTGCAAAACCTTAAATGAGGAATGGGACTAAACGAGATACCATATTTATTCACCGGTTTTCTTCATTTACATAACATACTAATTATCATGTAACAGAGAAGCAAAGCATCACATTATTTTCTCCAAAACCAAAATGCTTTGAAATCAATTAACTTCTCAGGGAAAGACACAGTCTACTATTGACATTTATGTAAGTCAATGCAACCTCTAAAAGCTGAGCCCCTAGCCTGCTTTGATGCTGCAGCCATTCTCCAGCCCAGCCTAGATGACAGATGACCCACACAGTTGGCAGAGGAAGCAGAAAGCTCTTAAAAAATGCTAAGAGCTCCAGAAAATATGGATATGAGTCCAAATTTCAGGGTCCTAAGAAATGTCTCTCTTTCTGAGAAAAGTCAGGTGCAGGATGCTGCACCTAGGGAGGAATAACCCCGAGTACCAGTACAGGCTGGGGGCTGACCCAATAGACAGCACCTCTGCAGGAAAAGGTCTGGAAGTCTTGGTGGAAGGCAAATGGACATTGAGCCAGCAGTGCCCTCGTGGCCAGAAGTGCCAAAGGTATTCTGTGGTGCATCAGGAAATGTGGCCAACAGGTCAAGGGATGTGATCCTGTCCCTCTGCTCAGCCCTAGTAATGCCACATTTGAAATGCTGTGTCCAGTTCTGGGCTCCTCGGTACAAGAAAGACAAGGAGCTACTGGAGAGGGTCAGCAGAGGGGCACAATGGTGAGGAGGGGTCTGGAGCATCTCTTCCATGAGGAGAGACTGGGGGAGCTGGGCCTGAGGGGGGAATCTCATCAACACCTATAAATACCTCAAAGGCAGGTGCCAAGAGGATGGTGCCAGATTCTTTTCAGTGCTGCCCAGTGACAGGACAAGGAGCAGTGGCTATAAACTAAAATACAAGAAGTTTCATCTCAACGTGAGGAAGAGCTTTGCATTGAGGGTGGCAAAGCACTGGAATAGGCTGCCCAGGGACATTTTGGACACTCCCTCTCTGGAGATGTTCAAAACCCACATGTACATGTTCTGGTGTAAAATAATCTATTAATGAATAACAAATCTAAACTAAATCTAATCCAAACTAATTCAGTGATTTTATGAAGACAAAGATGATATTTGGATAACTAAGCACAGTCAGTCCCACCCTCATGCCTCTGCAAATCATTGTTAGTACATTGTCCTTTGTTACATCTCAGTGCTATCCCTTCACCCCACATATACCAATACTGGCCCCCACAGCTTGCTCTTCTTCTACTAGTGCATTTTTCCAAAATTCACACTCCTTTTTAAAAGATCTGGAGTGACAGCAAACAAGTTGGCAGTATCAGATAACCCAAAGACAGAAATCTCTTGGTGTTCTGAAGTTGTGTCACATGTATATACAAGTTACCTTGATGCTGCTTTGTTGTTTCTACCAAAGCCAGTCAGCATGCCAGATCACTGTTTCAGGTGAAGCTGATAAATGCACAGCTAGAGCTCTCTTCCAAATGTTTTCAGGAGATTCTGGTTAGACAGTGCCTAGGCAACGGAGAGAAAGTGTTCCTTTGCAACTTCACCTGGCTGGGCTTCCTATGCAGTCTTCCAACTCATCCTTTTCTATCTGAGATGTTCCTGTATCTGCCTCTAATGGAATACTTACACAGGGGATTGAAAAACTGTGAGAACCATTCCAAACTGTATGTCTTTTGCACAACATACCTTGTGCTTTGAAAAATAGCCACTGATCCTGCTTAGCTTGCTGTATAGGTAGCCGAGTTTCAGGCACCAAGGGTTCTGTTTACAGCAAAATTGTTTCATATATGTTTCCACAGATAGCATCCAGAATTGGAGAAGGATTGTACAATTGATGCTGAGGCCAAAGATGCACTGACTGGCCTGTCAACCCACCCAGGCACAGTTTCCCCAGCAAGACTGAGTCCTCGTATGTGGCCTCTTCCCACAAAAGTGTGTTTTCACTAAGCTGTATGCTTTTATCAGAAATTCTTTACCCTGAGGTTGGTGAGGCACTGGCACAAATTTCTCAGAGAAGCTGTGGATGCCCTCCCCTGGCAGTGTTCAAGGCTTTGTTGGATGGAACTCTGAACAGCCTAATGTACTGGAAGGTGTTCCAGCAGAGGAATCAAGTGTTCCAGGGGTTTTGAAACTAAATGATCTTTAAAGTCCCTTACAACCCAAACCATTCTATGATTCTGCTCTGTGAAGGAAAAGATAGCAGCCCCAGTTGGGCCATGAGACACACACCACCCTGAAATAACCCCGGGCCTGACTCACAGACTCGGAAAGCCAGAGGAGAAATCCCAGCAGGGTTTTCTCACAGGCTCTCTGTCTCATTAAGTGCATGCAGTTGTAGACGTGTTCTGAAAATATCCAAGTAAGTATGCAGCACCTTTCTGCTTCTTTTCAGACTTTAAACAGGTATATCAGCTTTTGCACTTTCACATTTGTTTTACTTCTTCTTTCTTTCAAACTCTCAATCAATACAGGAGAGAGAAAAGATGTCACTCGGGTACATTCCTGTTTTTAAATAAACCAGACTGGTGAGGTTTCTGTGGCTGATGGAAAAGCACTTGTTTGATCTTAGAATTGCCATGGTTGGAAGAGACCTCTAAGATCATCAAGCCCAGCCATCAGCCCAGAAATCTTTGCTCACATTCGCACATCTGGTACATCCCACCATCCCAAGCAGCACAGCCCTGACCACAGAACTTCTCAGCAGCAGTCACTGGTGCAACAGTTAGCCTTGAACCATGCCCAGGACAGAAATGGGCGGAACAGGTCCAAAGCAAATCAAGGGTGAATGTAAACAATTAAATGATTAATGTCATTGTGAGTCTGTATCCTGGTCCATCTTTATTTATCACGATAGATACTCTTGCTGCTCTGTGTTGTGCTTATCTGGCACAACTAAGTGGGCTGTTTAAAGCTGTGGGAGTATCTCCACTGGTGCTGTTGCTCTGATGCAGGATGCAAGGTGGGACCTAGAGACCCCTTATTCCACTCCCAGCCATCTCCATGTCCCCCACAGCAGAGAATACAATCCAGCTCTTGCTGCGTGCCTTGCCACTGTATCCCATGCCCGTCCAGGCTGTTGCCCTTCCAAGATCACAAGTGGCATTATTTTACTTCTCTTAGACTTTGTGAGCCTATTGTGAAAAAAAAAAAGAGTCAAGCTGAGACATCACCTGAAGGAATTTGGACTATTTCTGCTGTGTATTTGGGCACAGAGATTTTATTTGCCTGTAATAAGAAACATTACCTTCTCCTCCCCCCAATAAAATGATTCCTCTAATATTTAAGTTTCAAGACCATACACTGTGTTTATAACCCTCAGGCCCTGAAGTAAAATAAGATTGAGTTTCCCTCAGGTAAGTACTTCCAGACACTTTATCTGCTATATCATTACAACTATACCCTATTTGTTACTGTACTGTGTAACACAATACTTGCATTATATTCCACATAAAAAGCTGTTTCTGCAGCATCTTGTCATCATTTCACGAACGCAGCTTTGAAGCCGTTTTGAATTCTGAATTCAGTGCATAACAGCGAAGGCTCAAGTGCACAACACCGTATTATTTACTCAGATGGGGTTAATTGCTGAATAAAAGAATGGTTCCTTTCAGTTTACCTTTTTACAATCTCACTCACACTGGATATGGAAGACAGGTAAGTCTGTGATAAATATCAAACTTTCTAATCAGAAACGAGCCCAGTCGTATTTGAAATCTTGAACTTAATCCAGAATCAGGAAATGCAGCCACTTGTGTTACTGTTGCTGAAAGAAGAAAATGACCTTTTTATTGTAGCTTACATTCACTATTGTACTTGTGAACCATGGGGAATGAAGCAGAAGAAATACAAGGGCTTAAGGAGACCTTCTTTTAACAAGAAAACTGAAATTGGGTGCAATAAAAATATATAGCCAATATAAAGGCTGTGATTCTCCAGGGGAAATCTGTGACTTTGACATGGATTCACTCCTAACAAATTATTCCTGCTTCCTAGCTACCATTAGTATTTGCTTTCAGGCACCCTTTGCCTTAAATTTTACTTGCTTTAGCATCTGCGTGGGTTCATTTGAATGTAGAAAAATTAATAACCTACACCTCTAACAGGAATATAAAAAGTGAAATGATACTATAAATTATTAAGTGGAGATTGACTTTCAGCAAACTTTTTTTATTTCTCAGCAATGTTCCAGGGCAAATGCCTGCTGGATTATTTCATAATGACTCTCTGCTGATGACTAATTTACAGCTGAACTGGAATCCTGGACCAACATCAGTAACAGAGTGCCATAACTCAGTGCTGTGCTCTTGGACAGCAGACAGTGGTACCAGAGGAGACCAAATGTTCAACCAGAGATGAGAATCATAAAATTATACACAATTTTTTTGTGATGTGGAACTCAGATGGAATTTATACTTTACCTAAACTAAGTTTTTTATATAAGCAGTTTATTGTGATGCCATTCCGTGTCAGTGTCGCAGCAGGGGCTAGATTTACCAAGCAGTCATAATAATGTGTAGGCATTTAAATTAAATGGATGGATTTTAAAACATTTTTAAACTTTTTCAAATGTTTTAGAAATACTGAGAGCCTTATACATTCCCTCAGGGCTGTCTGATCTTTTTTTCTTTTTTTTTTCTTTTCTTTTTTTGGAAATCAGTTAACTTAATTATCTAGAGAAATCAGAGCCCAGCTATGAGTGAAAGTTTAAGTTGATGGGTCAGGCAGTGGAAAGATGTGAGAGCTTTCTAGATCTCATTTTTCACTCTCTGATTTTGATGATAAGATTATTTTTTTTTCTTTTCATTGTTTCTACTATAAAATTATCCAGAAGATACTTAAAATGAGATTTAAAAAAAAAAAAAAAAAAAAAAAAAAAAAAAAAAAAAAAAAAAAAAAAAAAAAAAAAAAGAAGAAAAAAAAAAGCTCATAGGAAGTTCCTTAAGCTTGCATGTTATTGAATGAGGTACTGACTTTGACTGAAAGGGGAACTCATACTTACTGAAAGGTAAACTCATGCTTTTCTGGAATAAGGTCTTGTGGATTTTTTTTTCTCATCTAACCAACTGGTTAGCTGACCAATAGGTCATTTTGAAAATTTTACCACAAGCTTCAGATGGAACAAACGCTTGCCTTACCTAGGTGTTTCCTTGGCTGTGATGGGCAAGGATCATCCAAGGCCAGCACTAGCAATGCTATACCAGAAGATGGGAGAGTTGCTGAATAAATCTCACCAGAAGCATCTGCCAGCAGTTCTGTGTGTGATTCCCTGGTGTCCCACTTCAGCAATGGTTGTTATGATGTGCGCCCTGAGCAAAACTGCGTTCCCATAGTTCATTAACATGTGGATTTGAAGCTCTCTGAGAACAAGAGTAGGAAGCAATTTTATAGTACTACCTTGCTGCAGTGGAGATTGAATTTTCTTCCCTCTTTCTCTCTCTTTTTTTTTTATTAATTCAAGAAGAGGGAAAATAAGACCTTCTGAGCTGAAAAAGAAGAGCAGTGAAAAGCAAGAAAATACCTAAAAGTGCATGAGTCAGTCCTGTACTAAAGTTAAACTTGAGATCTGGGGGAATAACCTCCATGTCACTACTTTAAATCATTTAGAGTAGTAGAGGACAGAAGGGGACATAACTAGCCAGAAAAGCTGTTATGAAAAGCATCCATCACTCGTTATAAGCTCTGTAAATCCACTGATCTGTGTATGTTTCTAACCTGAGCACATAGCACTGAGAGAAAAGCACACTTACTGAAATATAAAACTAGACCAGTAATCTGCCTCTCTTTTTCTCTGTGAATGCCTGTTCAAAAATATCCTTTACAGAGAAATTTCCACTCACTTCTACCCAATATTTATATTTATATGCATATTGTCCTACTTGTTATTGCAGGAACATTGTCCTCCAAAACAAAGTCTTCCCTAATGCTCCTAAGATGTATTTTTATGGACTAGTTATGTCCTTTCTCACTCTTAGTTCTGCTGAGCTAAGGAGGCTGAACTGGCCAAATGTCTTCTCACACAAGAAACACTCTCTTCCAGCCATCCCATCCCTTCTGGATGAAGAAAACTCACATGCAGTCTTTTCCAGAAGCTTTGTCAGTAGCATTGACCTTTCCCTCCCTCTACTGGCACCTCCTAAGATCAAATAAACCTCTTTCACATGTATCATCCTGAGGAATCACAAACACCTTGTAGTAAACCAGTACCCCCGATCTTCCTTTTCTTCTATTGTTTCATAGTAATGAAATAACATAACAGAAAAATCTGCATTTTTTAAGTAAAGTTTTACGTAAATTCTTCTGGCTTTACCAGAAGAACTGTGTTATTCTAACCTCATGCTGCTATTGCAGACCTCCTCTGAGCTGATGATACTTCCTGGTTTGATATCATCAGCAAGTGCCACTAAAATACTTGTTTCTCTGTGTGTTAAAGAAATTCGTGAGAACATTTTCTGAAATCAGTTCAAAAGTATCTTTCATGTACTCTCCCAATAACCTCTTCCCAGTCAATTTTAATACCACTGCCAGTTACCATCTCTGTTTAAAGATTATTTTTACACTTCCAGCACAAAAACTGTGCACGAGATATTTGTAACAAAACAAAAACAAAAATCCCTCCTAGTAATTTGGTAGCAGATAACAAGCATTTTGCAATATTTTTTCTAGTTCCAAATATGCATTATGTCAGAGAAGAAGGTAGCACCTACAGTCTGGTTTCATCTGCTTTGTTACATCCATTTTGTACTCTATTTTATGTTTCCTCCTGTCTTTTTTGATTCTTCTTTTCAAGATTTTCTCTAAAGCCTTGCAAACTATTAAAACACACCTAAGAAACCTGGGTTTTCCAGAATCTCCTTCCCTTCCTTTTCAAGCTTTTTCATCCCCACCTTGGAGGTGGACCCTTGCTGCTGGACTCCAGAAAGTTATCCCCTAAAACTGTAGGATGGGGTTGTTGCACAACTCAATTTAAATCAGGAAACTCCTAACCTGAGCTTCCATCTAAGCTCAGAGCTCAGGGAGCACTTGTCCCTCCTTCCCCAGCTATGCTGGATTCACTGTCAGTGTAACTCTTCAGCCAACAAGCAAGAAAAAATAGCTGTTAACTTGCTGGTGTGGTATTTGCTAACATAGCATGCTGAATTCCTTTAGTCTAGCTCTAGTTGTGATTCAACAATGACTTTGTGATGGCACAAGAAAGGGTTAACAGAACAAAAACCCAAGTTCTGCTTCAAGTACTTTTACAACTTTCTTTACGCCACAGAACTGTGGAGAAAAACATCTCAAGGGTTGCTCTTTTTTTCCATTAGGTTGTCTGCTTTCACAGGTGTTGAGTTGCTGTAAGATCTGAAAATCTCCATACTTGAAAATGTGATGGTGAGATGGCCTGGAACTAAAACACCCAACCTGCCTGACCCAAAGCCTGCAGGTTTATAATACAGTCACTTGCTAAACTGACAGTAACAGTCTGGAGGAGTATCAACACCTAATACCATGAAAGCCAGAGATAGTTTTCTCCCTGGTAGCTGGTTCACCGTGTCCTGGAGCAGTGTATATGAGCTCTCACTCAGCCCTTAGGATAAGAATCAAGTGGGCATAGTATCTACCCACCAAACAAGTGCTGAATTTCACTTGTAATCTCCATAATAGAAGACAGATCCAGGTAATTCTTTCCTATCATTTATTTCCTCTAAGGATTTTCAAGATATCTTTAAAATTGAATTACTTTTGTACCATTATTCTGCCAGAAAGCTGAATCAAGATGTATATTTGGAGTCAGAGGGAACAGAGCTGACATTTTTGATGTTGAATCTTCTCATGGCCATCTGATTCCACAAGACTGCTGTCATGTTCATGGTCTTACTGGACAATTCACTTATGAAGGGACCTCATAGGGCTTTTAACCGAGCCTGTTGCTCCAAGAATGGTCAGCTGCTGGGTCAGCCCAGAGAGCTCAGGAATTTATTCAGTCAGTTCTTGAAAACCTCTGAGAATGGAGATTGTACAATCTCTTTGGATAAATTGCCCCCCTGCTTCATTGGCCACATGGGGAAAAGTTCCTACTTTCACTCAATTGAAAACCTACTTTATTCAATTTCATTGTTATCTTGTCCCTTCCAGGGATCAGGGACCGGGTTTTCTCAACTCTTTACCTTCAGAGCTCTTCCCATGATACCTCACCTACCCATTTCCTGAATGAACCAAAGCCTGGTTTCCTACAGCCTGGGTCTGTACCCAGATATCCCCCCTCCTCACTCCCCTCAGGATCTTCAAGTCCACTGGCTCGTAGGCACTAAAATAGCAGTAGATGATACTGCTTTTCACATTGCCATCCACTTCTTCCTTGCAAAGAGCAGATCTAGCTTTGCATCATTCCTGATAGATCCATTGAATACCTCTGCTGAGAGGTGATCCCTGATTCTGTTCAGAAACCTCTCTGACTGTAGCATCCCATAGTGTTGCTCATACAGAAAATGTCAGGAGATTTAAATACCCCATAAAATCCTGATCCAAGAACTCTCTTGAGTTGTTTAAATAAGATATTGGCCACTTTCTTACCCTGTTCAGGTAGTCTATAACACAATCCTACCAAAATGGCATCTTTACTCAGCTCTTTGACCCTGGCACACAAGCTCTCACTCAGTCCATCATCCATCCCATACAAAAGCTCCATGTATTAACACTGTTCCTTAGCACAGAGTACAAGGTACACTCCTCTTCCATGTCTCTCCTGAAGAGCGTGTTGTCATGAGAGCCTACCCCATCACATCTGAGTTATTCCAGTGTTACTGTAGCTTTGTAAATACATAAAGAGCTCTGCTTCTTCCTGTTTCTTTCCCAGGCTCTATGCTTCACTGTACAGAAGCTTTAACAGCTTTAACCAGTAGTGATGACAAAATGACAGTTTTCAATTCTCAGAGAAATAAGGAGAGAGGTCAGCAGAACTGCTACCTCAGACTTTCAGAGGGAAAATTCTGGCCTGCTTAGGAGACAGGTTGAGACAGAGTATATTATTTTTTCCTTATGCAAAGACACCTCTTTTTCTGGAGTTCACAGAACTCATTGCATTACTGTCCTAAAGTGCCAGCCATGCAGAATAAGGGTATGTACCACCACAGACAAAGCACAAGGGAAAGGAAGGTGGACAAAGGTAAATAACATCCATACACATGATTATGCAAAATATTAATCTGTTTCATTTTTTATCATCTCAAAGATGTTAATCTATGAGCAGGAACCTGAATGAATTAAGAAAAAAATATATGTCTTTCAAAGAGCTAATAAAAATATTGTGAGTCTGTTGCCTATTTTTCACCTCCCAACACATTATTTCTGTTATTAGAATGTAGAACCTGTGCATATGTCTAACATTTCTGAAGCTAACCAGAACATGAAGCATATACTGGAGGATGTCCACAGGTGACTAAGGGGGTTTTAGTAACATGACTGATTTATACTGCCAGACAACACAGCATGAGCAGGCTGATGGAGTAAGACTTTCATCATTGTAGACATGCTTGATGCATAAGTAGAATTATTCACAATCTCAAATTAGGAATTTTGGGTCAATTGAACCTGATTTTTTTCCAATGTGGGAGTTGTTCAGTGGGACTTGTTTCTGTATTATCCTCCCTATACATTAGAAAAAAACCAAAACAACTGTTAATTTCTTTTTATATTTTTCCTTATTGATGCTGAATCTTTCTGGCCAAGAAACACCAAGAAGCCAAAGGTCACTCAAGACTTGCTCCACTCTTTTGAGACAGAGTCCTCAGACAGACAGAACTGCTTTTCAAGCAATTTATTGGCCGTGAAAAGGAATGGAAGAGATGTAAAGAAGTGGCCCATAAAAAGAGTTGTTCTAGATTGTAGCTGATCTGGAATTTCACATCTGGAAAGGTGGAAAGTCAAAAGGCTCAGTTTTGCCCTTTAGGTGTGGAAAAGTGAGTATGTTTTATAAATAACATGTTCTTTCACTTGAGCAAAAAATAATAGCATGCTGTACGTGACATTCCTTCTCTGAATAGGTGAGAGTGACATGGGGGGCAGTAACATCTGAACTGAAGAGGGAGGTGAATCAAATTCTAACTCTTCTTACCTATCACAAAAACTGCAATTAGAGAGGTTCAAATCAATCTGGACAGAATAACAGCCTAGACAACTCGGTGGTTTATTTAATATGACCACAAAATGCATTTTGTTTTCCATTTTCTCAAATATACAGATATCAGACAGATACCAGATAGAGATTTTTGACCTGCCCATTTTATGCTTTTCAAAGGTGGTTTGGTTTTGTGTAAATTGTTTTTCTATATCATTCCAAAGGATTCTATAACACTCTGTTCTTCAAGGATTCCTGGTCCTACTAGCTAGGTCAGACAGGTCCTGTTGGTGGCCCATCAGACAGTCTGGCAATACCAGGCAACTCTGCTCAGTCCACTGTCTTTTTTCTGACCCTGACTGGAGCTGGGAGTACTAAAGAACAAAATCAGTCCAACATACAGATCTGAGAGCCAACAGGTCCAGATCCAACAGTTCCTCACCTGCTTCCTTCCCACCTGCTATTTAAGGCATGGACTGCCATGAGTAAAACGTGGCACCGAATCTTCCAGCCTCCGGAAAGCTGGATGAGCTTGTGATAAACCCATTAGATTCTGAAGGTCTCCCTAGGGGTTTATTTAGCACACAAGGGATCTTTAGTGGCATAATTCAATGAACCAAAATCTCACATTTTCTTGAGGAACCAAAATCTCACATTTTCTTGAGCCTTTGACATTGTTCTGTCCTTCCCAGGCTTGAGAGGACAATGGACACAGATTCCCAATGGTGTAATTGATGTGAGAGTATCACTAAATCAGCTTGCTGAATATGGGCTGACAACAATTAACAGTATTACTTACAGGTTATTAATTAACAGTATTACTTACAGGTTATTTTTAACTGTACATATTGTGTAGATAGATTAAGTGCCCAATAAAAGGAGACTTTCTGCATCTTTTACAGCTCATTTGGGAGAAATGAAGGCTCATCTTCTCCAGCCTGGTTCTGTAAGACAGACTGAACTCTGAGCTTATGGATGATCATGCCTGGGAGAGTGTTAGAGTCAATTTCTCATCACACATGGCAGTTTGGCTACCCACGTGGATGTTTCAGCATCCATGATGGTGCAGAACTAGAAAAATTACTCACCTGTGATTTCTGTGGCCTTCTTCCAGCAGAGATTTACAGCATCTGATGGTGAGGCATATTTTACCTATTCCTAATGGATATAAACAGCCCAAACTTGTGTCATTATATGTTCTTTTGGATGCATCAGCCTCAGATATATCTTGGCTGTCTCTAAAATTTGAAGTTTCACTGCTTTTTAAAGTCTACAGTGTAAAAAAACCCAGTTTTACAGTGATTTATTTATGGCTCTTGCCTGGATTCACATGGGTAAGTCTCTGCATATTGTTGATGTCTATCGGTGTCTGTTCAATAGGGCAAAAAAATGTGTGTCTCAGAAGTTAGGAAAAATGGAGAAATTTCTTTACAGTTAGGGGTTCAAAATTATTTTTTTATGCCCATGTGAAAAAGTTTTACAAAAATCCTGTAACCAGTGTATTTTCTGCCTTTTTATTTCTTACATGCAATACACTGATGTAGGTAAGAAAAGAAATACTCCTGTTTTCTTCTTGATTCTCTTTGGCTCCCTCTCTCCCTTTCCAGGGGAGCAGAAGAGATTGATGAGGAAACCAGGACATCTTCTGACACAGCATAGACAGCAAGGACACAAAAATGCTTCAAATGCTGTGCTGCAGAGAAGGTGTTGCTGTCTGTGTGACAGGCAGATTTCAGCTCAGAAAGCTATAAGCTGGGTTAGTTTGGTCTCCAAATTCCAGTGCTTGGAAAACTCCAGTTTGCTGGAGAGGTTTGGCACAAAGCTAGGACTGCTCCCTTTCTATCCTCACTGCCATGCAGATGTGGGGCAGACAGGGCAGAAGGTGAGAAGGGATGATGGTGCAGAGCTGCCATGGGGGGTGCTGCCAGGCAGGGATCCTGATGACGTGGAGCTCTCCCTCTGCTGCATGCTGTGGCAGCTATTACCATGCAGGACACAGCATCTCAGGCA